TAACTCTGTGAATATACCAAACAACATTGGACTGTACACTTTAAACAGGTGAATTATGTGGTATGTGAATTCTATCTCAATAAACTGTTACACGAATAAAAAGGCCAGAAAAGAATTGAAAGTCTGGTCTCAAAGAGACATATGTATACTCTTGTTTAAAGCAACATTATTCACAATAGCCAAGAGGTGGAAGCAATCCGTGTTCATAGACCAACGAATGGCTAAACAAAATGCCTATCATGTTATTTCGTTCATGCTTCATAATCAGTTTCTGATGGAGCCCACTTACTAGCCCATTTTACAGATAATGAAACTGAGGACAAAAGAGGCTGGAGGATCTCACAGCTTTCAAGTTACATGGTCTTTGCATATGCCTTGATATCTCAATTTTGAACATTCTATGTAGTTCATAGGCTAAAAAACAAACGAACTTGTAAGCAGTCTGTGGCTCAGGAGTTGCTGTTTTTCTAAGGTCCAGTAAGCCTCACTCAGCCTTGCTCTCTTGAACTTTGAGTTTCAGTTGCACATCAAACCCTGGAAGTGGGCAAATGCTGATGTCACCAGAGCAGCAGCAGGTAGCACCACTTGGGAGAGGGCATGTTCATGCCCCTCTGACATGCTGGCCAGTCTGCTGTTCACGTGAAACGATGCCCAGCCAGGCCAGGGCCACCTAGGTCTGCCAACGCAAGTCATTCTTCCCTGATTAATGCAGGTTTAATGTCCAAGGTGATAAAGTGCTGGGAGGTGGAAAGGGAAAGAGCTAATCTGCGCAGTCTTCGGTGACCAAAAAACAGCTCTGCTTTTGACCACTGACTTGGAGTGAGACAGACTCTCGGTGTACCTGTCCTGTGACTCTAAGCAAGTTTCTTGCCTTCTCTGAACCTAGAATTTCCTCATCCAGAAAACAGAGCAATAATCCTTTCCTCTGAAAGGGGCTAAAGTTGGAGATACGTGTAAAAAGAACCAGAACCATCTTAGAATCTCAAAAAAATAGCTATTATTATTGCTATTGTTGTCATTATTACAAGAAGAATTGGTACCAGTAACATAAGTAAAATTATTTCTACCATGCGGCTCTCAGTGGGTGGGGATCTTTGAATGCCTATTGTATGCAGGAACTGTCCAAACTTATTTAATGCTCTTGTGAAGTTGAGATTTTACTTTACAGAGGGGGAAATTAAGGCTCAGAGAAATTTAAAAAAAAACAAACAAAGCCTTGGCCGAGGTCATGTGTTTCATAAGTGCTGGAGCTAAGCTAACTTTCTTCCCAGTTTTCCTTGGTGGACTCTAGAGCTTAGTTGCATGACCTAGGGGAACCTCCTATTCCTCTATGCCTCAGTTTCTGAACCTGTAAAATGAAGAGTCAGGGTTAAGAACTACTCGGTCTCCAGATAGCCCTTGTAGCTTTAACTCAGATTCTCTGAGTAAAGTGAGCGTGTGAACATGATTAGAAGGATTGGCTGTGTATGAGCCAATCAGAGGCATTAGATAAATACCTCCCTATCAGGCCAAGGTGGGAAGGGGAAGGCAAAAGTTAAAAAAACAAAACAAAAAAAACCAACTTTGATGAGAAGTCTATAAAAGCTGTGTGTTCCCACAGATTCGTCCTATTTGGCAGCTGCTGCCTCATCCACAGCTTCTGATCTCTAAGACTCCCTTCTCCCAAACCGTAAGTAAAAGAACATCGATTGGCTACTTGGGCTGCACCAGGCAGGAAGGGGTTAATGAGAGCTTGTAGCGGGGGAGAGTCCATTTGCGTTAGTTTTCAGAGAAAACTTGATGGAGGTTGAAAACTTGAGGATCTGTTGAAATGATTGCTTTTCTCCTTAAGGCTAAATACTCACACCCTTCCTGGCTCTGTGAGGGGTAGGCACAAAGCTCAAGATTGATGCCAGTTACCAGCATTTCCTGTGTGACGGCTCTTTTGAATCTTGGCCCAGGACAACCAACTTGAATACTCCTGTTTGGTTCAGTTCTGCTCAATTTTTGAGATTCCTGCTCATTTCTACTCTCTCCATAACAACTGCTTATTTTGATTTATTTACGTATCTATCACCTTATGTCTTTTTCTTCATTCTTTTCCCACACCGACTGGTACTGGCACTGACATTTTTTTTTTTGTCACGGAAATAAACTCTTGGCCCTTCACCTTCACCCACTGCTCACATGAGAAAATATTACAGGCTTGGGAATATCACCGAGCATAGTTGTCATTTGATTATAAATTCTAAAACCTTCCACTTGGTTGATACTTCCTATCATACTTCCTATTGGCACCAAAACCCTTTGAAGACCCTCCAGCTGAAGATATTTGGAACCAAAAGCTACTGATGTGTTTTGGTGCATTTGTTCTACTCTCTGAAAAACAGGCATGTTGTGAAGAGATGCTTGCCTTTTAAAATACACTTGACTTTAAATAGTTACCTAGGGCTCCATTAGCCGGTGGGATGCAGCAGGGGCTCAAACTCTGCTGCCATCATCACTTTAACCACGGCATATCTGGGGAAGACCTAGGCCCAGGCTAGACCTGAGGGGCCAGGCCAGGGAATGGAGTCTAGTTGCTGTAAACCTAGGAGTTCCATTGACTTACTTGCCAGTTTAGAGAAAAGGGCAATACTCTTTTTCTGGGCTGCTGCACGGGCATTCAGAGGCACCAGGGATCAGGCTGTCTGAGAGCATCCCACTGCTCTTGTCACTGTGGCACTGGGGTGGGTAATGAAGCCGTAAGCATCTTCACGCATCCATACATGCAAGTACTGCACACAGCGCTTGGCGGTCATAGATTTCCAGCGAAGAAGCCCCTCACGCCTGTCTTCTTGAAAATCCACCTGCCTTGTCCACAGTGAAGCAAATGGACTCCTTACTACCTTATATTTCTCCAGACATGGAACATTCACAGTTTACAAATTGTTATCATTTCACAGAACCTCTTCTAGGAAGGCAGAAAGAACCACAATGTAGGGTTCCATCTGTTATTTTGCTGAAGAAGGATTAGATATAGGATTCTAAGTCATAAGCCAATAGGATGTGACTTACAAGCCTAGACCATCACAATGTAGAAGGGACATCAAACATATTCTTCCTGCGCCTCCATTTCCTCATTGGTAAAGTTGGCAGGGTTGATGCAGACCTCAGGTCACTTGTAGCTCTGTTTTTCTGTGATTACCTTCTGCTCATATATGTTCATTCTCACAACCTTCTCCCAGGTGTGTGTGTGTGTGTGTGTGTGTGTGTGTGTGTGTGTGTGTGTATAACTTGTTAATATATTATGTAATATATAAATCTGTTTATTAAGAAATCAAACATTATAAAAAATTCAAGTGAAATGTGACTCACTCCACCCCATCTCATTCCCCAGAAGTAACCCCAGGGTGGTTATTCTCTGCTTATGTAGACCCACAAACTGTGTGTGTATACCACTCTTTTAATTAAAAAAAAAAGAAGAAGAATATTATATATATTGCATACTACTCTGAAACTTGCCTTTTTCACTTAATAATATCATGTGAACAACTTCCAATCATACTTTTAAAAATGTTCACTTGAAACCTCAGTGAGCAGAGGCGTAGGGGCACAGAATTCATTCTCTCTCATTACCCACTCCCGGCTGGCCTCCTGTCTCCCAGGGGTGAACACTGGTTCATGACCCTGTTTTATGATTAACAGACCGGTAACATTTGTGCTGATGTGGTACAGACCTTTAATCCCTCTGTAGAAGTTTAACTTCCCATCAACAGTATTTGTTTTGATTTGACCTTTTCCTTGTTTGTTTTTCTGGTTGAGTCAGCACAGAGTCTGAAGAAAATAGCTTGGTAAATAGAAACACGGAAGTCCCTTAGGTGATTATTTTTTAATAAATATTTAAAAGAGAAAAATAATAATAGCTTACATTTTCATAATGCTTTATAAAGCATCTTCATGTTTACCATGCAATTCAACAAATATATTTTGAGCAAATACCAGGAGTAGAGTGCTCACAGGTCACATTTGATCCATTTGGCGATGAGACAACTAGAGCAGATATTATCGTCATTTAATCCATAATAAACTAAGACTCAGAAATGATTGACTTGCCCATGGTCCCAAGCAGGGGGAAGCAGAGGTGGTTCTTGAACATGGGTCTGTTTGATCTACTAGCAGCAAACCTCTGTGTGAATGTGTCAGATGTTGATAGATTGTAATGTCAGTGGTGTGGGAATAATGAGCCACAGCCCAAGGGTTTGGGGCACTCTGGGGGTGTCATCACCAAGTATTTTGGAGGTGTCATCAACGGGCCAAGGCCCATTCTTTTCACCAAGTTCACTCTTTCCTTGAAAGACAGAACTGCCCCTTATCCCAACTTTGTGCCTTAATAGCTATTTGTCCGTGAGCAAATAATTAAACTCTCGTATATTCTTTCCTTATCTATTACATGGGGGAGGAGGGCAGGGAGTGCGAATCCCAACTGCCTTCTGGGATTATTGTGAGGATTAAATTATATCGTGCATGTGAAGCAATTAGTAGGGTGCTTGGCAGTAAGTGATAATTTGCTATTATTATTGGGGTATTTTTCCCTTTTTTTTTTTCATTAAGAAAACATCTTTATTTTTTGGTAGTTGTCCACTCCTCTGTGCAAATACCTAAACTGAGAAAGAAAATTTGCTCTTTGGCCTGAATGTCACCAACCTCAGGTTGGCTTTTATCTGCATGAAGATCTGGAGGCCAGGTTCAAAGCTAAAAATCCCTGACTACAATATTGAGACTAACATATAAACAGGGGCAATACCATCATCAGGTGGCTGGGATGTGAGGAGCCTGGAAAGACCATCTTCTCTAGAAACTGTCACCCATGAGCCTGTCCTGGTACCCCAATAACAGCACTGTGGTTTCATTCTTTTCAGTTAAGACAAGAACCCCTGCTGAAGACAGGGTGACAACAATGAGAGTAGTGTCAGTTACACACCTTCCATGAATTAGTTCAGTAGCCGTCAACTTCTTATATAAAGAGGCAGGGTACTGAGGGCCTGTCTTAAAGGGATGCAGCAAATATGAAGAAATCAATTTGCCAAGAGAGATAGGATTGGGTACGGAGCTCTGGTTCATCCTAGCTGGGACCTTGGGCAAGTCAGTCAACTTCTCTGAGTCTCAGCTCATTAATCCCTGGGCTGGTTACCTCATTGTTGGGTGGATCAAATGAGAATCGAGGTGCCCCTGGACTTCCAGGAAACAAAACACAGGCACGGGGCATCTACCCTGTGTATGAGTGTATGAGGGAGAGGAGGCACAGGATTGGACAGGAAACTACCTAAGATAATCTTCATTATGATTTGTTGTCTTTGATAGCTCAGCCTATGCAACATCACTCTTCTGTTGTAGCATACAAGATAAGAGCCCTGTGGGCTGGCATTGTCAAGATTAGCCCAAAGTGACAGCTCAACAGGGCAATGATTGCCTTCAGAGGCCCACTACTGAGGAGGTTGTTCGGGCAGGGGGTCTTGGAGCCAGAGTCTCTCCTCGCGAAAGCAGTGAAGCTGAGAATTACTGGAGCAGGAATCACCGTACGACTTCAGCAGCCTTGAAGTCTGTAGGAACCTCCAACCCAGAGGCACTTAGAAAAAATTCGCCCCATCTGCCTCAAATGGCCTCATAGATGGTTGAATATAAGAAAAGAGGAGGCTAGGTCCCAATGCTGAAGAGAGGTTAACTTCAAGGCCACGTGGTGGTTTCTCCTCTCAAGCTTATTGCCTGGAGAATAGCCTGATGGGCTATAGGCTAACAGAGCAAAGTGGAGAATGACCACACAGGCCAAAAGCTTCACCATCCTGGCCTCAAGCCATCCAGGGTGCCCGATGATACCAGGAATTCACAGAATAGAGAGGTAGTCAATTACTGTAGTGGCCTCTACTTGTCCGCTTTGAGTGGGTCACTAATTAGCTGATTCAGTCTCGGGATCGGTGACCCCAAAGGTCTCCTGGAAGGCATTCTATGGAGGATCACCATGAACATTTGGCATCCCACCTTCATCCATTATGGCTCATTGCAACTATACTTAGGCTAATTGGGGGGTGGAGAGGGGGGAGGGGGCGGGGACAGGGGAACAGACCTCATTCGTTTACCCATGTGTGGCAATGGGTTAGAAATGTCAGAGGGCCCACAGGGCTTGTCTGCACCCCTCGGCTGCCTTGGTCATGAGTCCATGAGCCACCCACAGTTCTGTTCAGGACTCTCCTGCACTCTCTTCCAGACCTGTCACCATGGCCCACCGATTTCCAGCCCTCACCCCAGAACAGAAGAAGGAGCTCTCAGAAATTGCCCAGCGCATTGTTGCCAATGGAAAGGGGATCCTGGCTGCCGATGAGTCCGTAGGTGAGTGAGTGCAAGAAAGGTCATCCGACAAGCGGACTCTTGTTTCCACACTTCTCAAAGGCAAATTGACAATCATACTGTCTCTTTCCTCTCAGAGGAGTACAGGCTTATGCACAAAGCGAGTAGAAGGCTCAGGAAGCATAGACCTTTTGAGTCTCGTCATTCCAGTAGGCAGACTTATGAAAACCAAGGACAGGGGCTCCAGCTTTCCATTTTAAGGGCCCTTGCCAGAGGTCATTTGAATCCAGGCTACAGCAAGGCGAGGAACTCAATAACTAGAATGAGGTCAGATCCACAGCCCTCTGCTGCTAATGAGAAGTCGGCCAAGGAAGAGCAGAGAGGGAAAGGAAGTGTCCACAGCTGGCCCAGGGAAAAAGGGCTTGTGGCTGAGAGAAGCCCTAGAGGGTATAAGGGAGAGCTGTGGCAGGCCTGCACGCCACCATAAAAACACAGAAGCCACAGAAGTCAACAGCCTGTTCACCCCTCCTTCCACTGTATGTACATCCAGTCAGATTAAGGGCTGGACCAGTGGAGGGCTGGAGAGGCTGTAGGGCCTTACCTACCCACCCGGACCCAATGGTGACTTCCACCCTGACCTGGACACACCCAACCCAGACACTTCCTAATCAGCATCCTGACAGCACCCAAGGTCTTTCCCTGGGGAGACAGAAAAAGAGGCAGGCTTTCTGAAGATCCGAATAAAAACAAGAGTCTTGCTGTCCATCCTGGTGAGGGTCGCTGAGATGGTGTGGAGGAGGGTGGCAGGAAAGCCTGGCTTGCTCCTTACCCTGCCTTCGCCCACTCGCCATAGGCACCATGGGAAACCGCCTGCAGAGGATCAAGGTGGAGAACACGGAAGAGAACCGCAGACAGTTCCGAGAACTCCTCTTCACTGTGGACGACTCCATCCGCCAGAGCATCGGGGGCGTGATCCTGTTCCATGAGACCCTCTACCAGAAGGACAGCCAGGGCAAGCTGTTCAGAAACATCCTTAAGGAAAGGGGGATCGTGGTGGGAATCAAGGTGGGTACTTCCGCTCCCCTCACTGCAGCTGCACCCCTGCCAACGGCACAGGGGCTGGGGCAGGGCCCACACTCTTGAATTTTCTAATCATCTAATGCTGTTCTCACTCCTTTCCATCACATCTTCCTCCTGAGAACAGATGCAATGACCTCTTCTTTTAGCCGTTTTCTACAAGGTGCTAAATCTCTTAGTCTCTCAATTTCCTCATTTCTAAAACAGGAATAACAGTACCTACCTCATAAGGTTCTCATAAGGACGAAATGAGTTTTTAAAACAGCCCCTCTCACGTAATTATTATTCAGCACATGATAGCTATTATTATTAAAGCACTGACTGTTGTCTTGTAACGAGGTCTTTCAAAACTACATGAACTTCCCAAGAGAGAGCATTAGAATTTGATGCATGCTTACAACTTCAGGCACTCATTTAATCCTCCTCACAACCTCTGGAGGTAGACTTAGTTATTACTCTTATTTTGGAGATGAGGTGAGAAAATGGAATCCCAAGAAGTAAAATGACTTGCCCACAGCAAGGCGAAATTGGAGCCAGTTCCAGCCCAGACCGCCTACCTCTTGGGCTCATGCACGTATCCTCTGCTCTGCGGAGAGTAGAGGCTGCATCCTTATTCCCCTGTAATAACACAGTGCCTGCTATGTGCAAGTGCTCAACAAATGTCTCTTGAATAAATGAATGAATAATTTAAGGGAAGCTGCTTTTATACGGCACCTCTGCATCTCTGGTACTCAGGTTACTTCTTACTTCCCAAGCTCCAGGACTGTGCTTTCCGTCCTCTCAGGGTTGTTCTTACAATGTTTCTTCCGGGTAACTTCCCTTCTACTATGGACTGAATTGTGTCTCTCTCAATGATTAATACACCTTCCTAATTCAATGGCTTATTCTGTGAAAGATGAGAACTATTAGTTAACACCAGGGGTTCTGCCTGTGTTTTACTGGGACACCTGACACCTGCTAATTACTTGTTAATTATTTATCTTCACAGTTAGACCAAGGAGGTGCTCCCCTTGCAGGAACAAACAAAGAAACCACCATTCAAGGTAAGGATATTGCTCACTGATATGAATCATGCCAATATATGCTAGAAATGAGCAAGGGAAAATAAAATATGAATATCACGCTGGTTTTAGAGCCACATACACCTGATTTTTGATCCCAGCGCCTCTATTTAATAACTGTGACCTCACACTAGTCACTTAAGTGTTCTGAGTCCATTTCAGGGATAACAACATCTGCTTTGCAGGATAGTTTTGGCGATTAAATTAGATAATGTATATAAAGTATTTACCACAGTGTCTTGCACAAAGAAGATACTCCGTCCCTTGGGAATATTATTTTTAGAAAAAAATCCAGCAGCAATAAAGGAAAGGTCCCAGGCTTTAGGATCAGACACATATCTGGATTTGAATCCTGGTTGCAACACTTACTACTTAGATAATTTTGCAAGGTACTTCACTGCCCAAGTAGACAAATATAAACCACAGCACTGGTTAGCTAAGCAGAATTTGAATCCTAGCTCTGTCACTTTTTAGCTATGCAAACTTGGTAAAGTCACTTAACCTCTCAGAGAGTCGATATCCACATCTGTAAAACGAGTATAATATTAACTATTACAGTTGTTATGATAATTCAATCAGAAAAGGTGTGCAAAATGCCTAGAATCATGCCTGGAACATAGTAACTACTAAACAAATACTAGTTCCCTCTGTTCTTATGGAGAATCCACCATGTACAGCAAAGCCATCTTTATTAAATCCAGGTCTTTTGGCTCAGTATTGGGATCTATGTTTATTGGCCTGGATGTATTCAGTTCTTAAGCTCTGCTGACTGGAAACTAACCCAAGGGAGAACTTGTCACTTTATCAGTGGCCCCATGGATCAGGGACAGGGGTGCAAAGACACCATTCTCTCTTCTGTGACTTGCAGGGCTCGATGGCCTTTCTGAGCGCTGTGCTCAGTATAAGAAAGACGGCGCTGACTTTGGGAAGTGGCGTGCTGTGCTGAGAATTGACAACCAGTGTCCATCCAGCCTCGCTATCCAGGAGAACGCCAACGCCCTGGCCCGCTACGCCAGCATCTGTCAGCAGGTGCTCTGCCTTTCCCTACAAAGTAGATGAGAGCTTTCTTTTAGAGCCTACTTTCTAATTTTACTATAACCATGCATGAGCCCTCCTCCTCTCTCACCAGTACATCCTGTTGGCATTTTCCCCTACTTTTGCTGTAGCCAAATATGGTAGGGAAAGGTTT